ACTTCAAGTTCCACTAGCTATAAGCCTTCAAACTTTAAAAATAATCCTAGCTATGTGGTTCTGAGTTTGGAGCTCTGCCCTGGATCTGCTTTGCCTGGTATTCTATGGTATGGCTAATGGCGAACTACACTGCACCTCCACCCTATCCGCCATCAAGCCCCGCCTCTCCATAGTTCTTTCTTAAACCTTGAAATCAAATGAAATTTGGCTTGCTGGTTTTTAGATTTGTCTAAGATCTGGAGTCGTGGTGTTGCACTTCGAACTAATGCACTGTACTGCAAGATCTCTTTGAACCACAAGGTCGGTGGTTCAAGCTTTTCAGCCACTCTACAGAACCCTGAACAGGGTCACTATGAGTCAGAACCCACTGGAAAGCACTTAACAGGATCTGTGACCTTTATTTCACCCCAGCTGCTCTCCTTTGCATGAGAATGTCTTTTCTATGCTTGTCTTCTCATTGCGTTTTGGAAACAAAATTCTTGTTTCAATTTTACAGCTGTGTAATTAGAAAGGGAATTTGCTACAAGGTAGACCATGCCAACAGTCTCACCTGTAACTGATTTAAAGGATGAGATTTGATACTCTAAATTAATTATATTTAGGTGTGATTTTCTAACTGGAGTTAATGTTGGAATACAAAAATTTGGGGGAGATGCTAGGAGTCGTGGTGTGGCACTGCGTGCGGGTTAATGCACTAGACTGAAAGGTCAGCAGTTCAAGCTCATCAGCCATTCCTTAGAAACCCTATAGAGGGTCGCTATGAGTAAGAACCGATTCAATGGCACTTGAGAACAACAACAAATTGAAATAAACTTGATGGCAACATATTTGATTTTCAGAATATGGATTATTATGGATTGAATAGTGTCCCCAAAGGGTATTTTTCTAGCCTCCAATATGTACAAATGTGACCTTATTTGAAAATAGGGTCTTTGTGGATGTAGTTAGTTAAGCAAACATTAGATTAGACTGGAGTAGGGTGGGTCCTAATCTAATATAACTTGTGTTATAAAATAACCAGAAGGAATATGGACATGTGATGATAGAAGTAGAAATTGTAATCATGTTTAATCAAGTCAAGGCAAAATGGATCTTCATCTGGAGCCTGCAGAGGACATGGTCAGACAACACTGTTGAATTCAGACTTCAGCTTCCAGTACATGAGAGTATTCATTTATCTTCCTTTGAGTCACTTGACATGTGGTAAAAATCATCCCCAATTTACATCAGGGCACCATTCTGTAAACAGAGTATTTCATGTGTTGTTTTCGTTTTAAGTTTTTATTATTGTTGCCATAGACTGCTCACTATGAGTTGCAACTGACTCGATGACACTTAATAACAAGAAGCACCAGACTGCTATATGGTAGTGTTTTGAGCAGTAAATCATAACATTAATCATCAGCAAACTACATACTGCAACAGTGTATGTAACATGTTACTAACAAGAAGATATACCAAGAAAGAAAAAAAAAAAAAAAAAAGACGTTCATAAGTGATGTTTGTCATAACTAGAATTCATCTGGAGTCAAGGGCTACCTGATTATTTGTGTGGCAATCCTAAGAAAAAAATAACCTTCCTCTCTCTCTCTCTCTTTTTTGTTCCCAAATGCCTACGTATTCACTTTCTAAATATATTTGAAGTCTTGTCAATTCTTTCATGATCACTTTATATAATTTAGTTTCTTTCCTTCTGCCTTTTATATTTATATCTCTCATTTTACTCAAACTGTTCTATTATATCATATTTCCCTTTCAAATGTTGTTGTTGTTAGGCGCCATCAAGTTGGTACTGTGTCAGAATGAAACACTGCCCAGTCCCATGCCAACTTCAGTCATTGGTACATTTGAAATTATCCCTGCTGCCACTGTGCCAATCCATCTCTTTGGAGTCTTCCTCTTTTTCTCTGACCCTCCATTTTACTAAACATGATATCCTTCCCCAGGGACTGGTCTTTCATGTCAATAAGTCCGAGTATTAGAGACGATTCTGGCAATTCTTGCTTCCAGGGAGCATTCTGGATGTACTTCTTCCAACATAGATCGGTTTGTTGTTTTGGTAGTCCACGGTACTTTTAATATTCTCCTCCAACACCATAGCACAAATCCTTATTCACTGTCCAGCTTTCCCATGCACATGAGGTTACTGAAAATACCATGGCTTGGGTCAGGCGCACCTTAGTCCTCAAACTGATATCTTTGCTCTCAACACTTTAAAGTGGTCTTGGGCAGCGTATTTGACTAATGGAATACATCCTTTTATTTCCTGACTGTTGCTTCTGTGAGTGTTGATGGTTGATTCAACCAAAATGAAGTCTTTGACAACTTCAATCTTTTCTCCATTTACATGGATGTTATTTATTGGTCCAGTGGTAAGAATTTTTGTTTTCTATACACTGGGGTCCAGCCCATACCAAAGGCTATAGTCTTTTATCTTCATCAGTAAATATTTTAAGTCATTTTCATTTTGCGGGTTCAATGTAGTACCATCTGCATATCACAGGTTGTTGATGAATCTTCCTCCAATCCTGCTGCCGAATTTTTCTTCATATAACCAGCTTCTCAGATTATTTGCTCAGCATACAGAGTGAGTAAATATGGTGAATGAATACAACTCTGGTGCACATCATTCCTAATTTTAAACCATTCAGTGTTCCCTTGTTTTGTTCAAAACAACTGCCTCTTGTTCTATGTACAGGCTCTTCGTGAGCACAATTAAGTGTTCTCCTCAATGCTGTCCATCTCATGTCATGATCTACACAATCAAAAGCCTTTGCATAGTCAATAAAACACATGTAAACATCTTTCTGGTATTCTCTGCTTTCAGCCAAGGTCCATCTGATGTCAGCAGTGATATCCCTCATTCCACATCCTCTTCTGAAGCCAGCTTGAACCTCTGGAAGTTCTCTGTCAATGTATGGTTGCTTCCATTTTTAAATTATCTTTAGCAAAATTTTAATAATTATCCAATTACTTCCATGTTCCGTTGGGTCACTTCTCTTTGGAATTAGCACAAATACGGATCTCTTCCAGTCAGTTGGCCAAATTTCTTGGCAGAGATGAGTGAGAGCATCCAGTTCTGCATCAATTTATTGAAAGGTTTCAGTTTGAATTCTCTCAATTCCCAGAGCCTTGTTCTTTGCCAATGTCTGCAATGCACCTTGGACTTTATTCCTTCAGTATCAGTGGCTCTTGATTATATATGCTACCTCTTCAAATGACTGAGAATCAGCCATCTCTTTTTGGTAGTGACTATGTGTATGTCTTCCATCTTCTTTTGATGCTTTCTAAATCATTAAATATTGAGCTAATCATTCAATAATGGTATTAACAGGTATATGGATATTATCCTATCACAGACAGCATTGTATTTTTTTTATGATGAATTCTATGCCATTAATCCTCAATTTGTCATTTCCCGAATAATAAACCATGTGATTATCAGATTCAAAACAGCCCATGCTAAACTATTTCAGCTCACTAATGCCTAGGACATCAATGTTTATGCATTCCATTTCATTTTTAGTAACTTCTGATCTTCCTAGATTCATAGGTCATACATTTCATGTTCTGATTACTAATGGATGTTTACAGCTGTTTCTCTTCATTTTGAGTTGTGCCTCATCAGCAAATGACAGTTCCAACGGCTTTACTCCATTCACGTTATCATCGTCAACCATACTTTGCGGAGGCAGCTGTTCCCCAGTAGTATTCTGAGTGCCTTCCAACATGAGGGGCTCCTCTTCCATCACTATATCTGACAATATTCTAGTACTCTCCATCATTTTTCAATATTCAATACTCTGGTGCTATCTGACAGTGCTCCACCACTGCTATAGATAAGGTTTTCAGTGACTAAATAGTCAGAAGTAGTCCATCTCTCCTTCTTCCTAGTCTGTCTTTGTCTGGAAACTCAGCTGAAACCTGTCCACCATGGTTGAACCTGCTGGTATTTAAAATACCGGGGCATAGCTACCAACATGCAAGCCACCACAGTTTGACAAACTGATAGATGAATTGTGGTCTCTTTTACATGCAAATACTAACTAATCAGGTTGACTTTGGAGATATCTGCTATTAAACGTGTTATTTATATTAGTAACAATACACCAAGTTAGTTAGAAGACTTACTTTTGTCCATTTATTGTAAAATGATTTCTCTATGAAAATTATCTTCCAAAGGGGAGTGAAAGTAAAACTCTGAAACATGATCAATTTTAATACGTTTATAAGAATAGAAAAGAATAAATTCATCAGACAAAAAAAAATATCAAAAGTAATGTTTTACAGATTTTTCATCTCAAAGCACAACACATTTTTCATAGAAACAAATATATCACCATTATAGGTACCATGATATGGTAACATTAATACAAAAGGCCATTAAGAAAATAAGTGGCAATGGTGATGAAATACATTAGTTTATCTTTTCTAATCTTTCTGCCATTATACTGCCTGGCCTGCAGGAGTATTTGCCAGGATACAATAGAAAATGTGTGACCTCAATTTTAATACATAGAAAGCTCTAGCTGCCCGTGCTTATCCTTGTAATTCCTGCATGAGCATTAGGAATATTGTTAACACCACTGCTCTGACTTGAGTCCATTGACTACTAAGGCCATTTCCAAGGAACCGGGCATTTTAACAAGTTCATCTGAATAGTAATGGATTATTTTATTAAAAAAGAAGTGCAATATCAGGACTGAATATTCTATATGCCTAAACTTAACAAAAGAGAAAGACTGTACAAGAATTAACTTGAAATAAATGAAAATTAGTTAGCAATGCACTGGACTGGAAAATATATTAAAATATGATTTTTTCCATTTTGGGAGTTGATTATTTTTTTAATGTACCAGATGGTATTCTGAGGGCCATTCACATTCAATGTTTAGATTCATTTTATTAGTGGCATATACACAGCACCATATAATATATGAAATGTAGAACAATTATGACTATATATTTAACTGTAAAAATAAGTGCTAAGAAAATATAGCAATATTTAACACAGGATTTCTAAAACCATTACATATTCATTATTTTTTCCAAAACTAGTGTCCCATGTTTTATTTTACAGACAGACAGTCTATCAAAATTTATATGCATTTTGGTACTTTTTTGGGCTGAAATAGTGTTTATCTTCTGTACAGTAATGTTACAGTTTTATACAAACGTCAGATATATGGCATTTGGAATTGTCTTTAGTATCCTCTTCCAAGTATTCCACTTCACACAACAGCAAAAACTCTGAATGCCTTTCCTCCTGGAGGGTTCTGTAAACTGAAAAAAAAACACAAAAGAAAACATAGGAAAGGATATTGATGTCATCCCCACATGCAAAACTTCAAATGAACCATGCTTTCTTATGAAAGTAAAGAAAGCAGCTCTGTGAGTCCAGATGGTCAACTTTCTTAAGGTACTATAATTTATAGTTTGGGAAAAGCTTGAGTGAGGATGACATATTTTTCTAAATCTTGAGTATATGCTATGCAAGTTTACTTAAGAAACTTAACATGCATAATAGCTAAAAGTTGCAGTAACACTCTACACTGAACTTCAGATTCCAGATTATGTTTTTCTACATATTGCCTCCTTTGATCTTAAATAAAACAGAGTCAGGCAGCTGTTATAAGGAAAAATTGAGACAAGTTTACAACTGATATACCTGTTCATTGTTAGCTGTAAATTAAAAAGAAAGTTTTTACTAGACATACTTTAGAGTACTGGACTATTATTATTTCTAATGTCTAACAAAATTCAAATTACACTGGCATCAGACATATTAAAATTTTAGCAATATGGCTTTTAGAGAAATCTTAGTGAGGAAAGTTAATGATCAAATCTGAAAGGTTCTAAGAATTTCTTTGCTAAAATGGAAAAGACACACACATACTACTCACACATGCACACACAGACATACATACTACTCATTTTAATTTTGGATGTATTTTTAAAACAGATGTTAAAAGCAATTAAAAATAATCAATTGTACTCTTTTATTAATAAATTGCTGTATGTCATCAAAGAACACCACTCAAGGTATGCTTTATATATGCCCAAAAGTTAAAAAAAAATTTATAACATTATTTATTATTTATTTTAATCAAATGTAAATTCTGAGGCACTTTACAATTTTGCATATAGTTTCATTTTCTCAGTAGTACAAGATACTTTTAGAGATAAAAAGAGAAAGATTTAAAAAAAAAAAAAAACTAAAAAGGAAAAGAGGGAGCAAAAATGCAATTCCTTTTTAATACTAACTCATACCAGAAAAGAACAGAAAGAATTATAGAGTAAAAAAAGGTAATAAAAGGAACCTTGCTGGTGCAATTGTGAATTCCTTGACTGCTAATTGAAATCTCAGCAATTTGAGGCCACCCTGGAAGGAGCGCTGGTAGCATAGTAGTTAAGAGTCGGGCTGCTAACCTCAAGGTCAGCAGTTTGAAACTACCAGTTGTTCCATGGGAGAAAGATGACGCTCTAGGCTCCCATAAAGATTTACTGCCTCAGAAACCTTATGCAGGGTCGCTGAGTCGGAACTCCATGGCATACCACCTCATCTTTCTCCAGTGAAACTGCTGGTAGTTTCAAACTTCTGACCTTTCAGTTAGCAATCTGACTCGCAACAACTATGCTACCCGAAAGAAACTGATCAAGTGGCCTAGCAAAGGAATGCACCTGGTGTGTTTCTTATTTGTTCAGAGCGATATACTGGAAAAATGCCTATCTCTGATCCTGCAGACCTAGTGCTAAATCTGAGCTCTGATGCTTACAGGTTATATGACCTTGGGGAGCATCACTTAACCCTTGAAACAGTTGACACATCTACAAATTAAAATTTATATTACTGACTTTATAGGACTGTGAATGAAACTGAGATCATATACTTAAAATGACCAGCTACATACATCTGGACCATTCATAGAGCATATCCAAAATTAAAGTTATAATTATTCTCAGTTTTCTTAGAGTGTATCAGCTGTAATCTTAAGAGTTTTAAAGCAAATTTAAGAAATGTGCAAGGCAAATGAAACCACATCTCTTAATTTAGCATATCAAATCTGATTCTATCACTCAATAATTAATTTTACATGTCATAGTTGCTCAAGGATGTCATGAAACAAGTTGTAGAGAAGTCACTCTCTGAACAATAAGCTTCTCATGTATTCTCATCTGAAAACAGATGCCCTTTTCATGAAGACAGAACCTAGAAGGTTATGTAGAAGAAAACTTAGATAACTTGTGTGGCATATGCTCTGGTGGCCTTAGGGAAATTCTTCTATACATGGAATTTTACGCAGAACCCTCCATGGGCAATTCTGAAGATCCCAGTGAATGTCTAGAATTGTGAGATGTTTCAGTATCTATACAAAATACAAGGAATCCTAATAGTGTGGTAGGTTACACTGCTTACTGCGAATTCACCATTTGCTCCTCAGGAGAAAGATGAAGCTTTCTTCAGTTAAGATTTACAGTCTTAGAAACCCTATACAAGGTTGCAATGAGTTGGAACTGACTCAGTGGCACACAGCCATACAAAATACATAGACTTAAGATTACTTCCATAGGAAAAAATTATATGAGAAAACAAAATAGTAGTTTTTTCTCTCACTATGTATTAAACACTTGATAAAGTGAGTCACACGAGCTATGATATGTAGTAATAGTGCACTAAATAGTATAAGAAGACCTGAAAGAATTTGTGCATTTTATATTCGGCATCCAATTTCCAGTTAAAAATAGTTTGTAAGGAAAATCAGACTTATTGCTTCTTGAAAATACTTTTTGTATAGCTGGGTTACAGAAATATTCAGTGGCATGCTCACCTAGAAAGATACAAAATTAATCTAGAAAATCCAAAAGGGGTCACAAAAATTCACTTATTATAAGATAAACCAGTAAAAGAGTGGTTTTGATTTGTAATCTTATTTTCCTGTCGGTGTATACAAGCCTGTGGGAAACAGGCACCTCTGCAGCTCCCCCCAGATTTGACTGTTACACAAGCACACAAAGGAATAATTTGACTTAGCCATTTAACTTCAAATCCATGCTAAAGTGAATCAATTAAAAATAATAAAGCAATCGACATTATATAAAATATATATTTACCTTTCTGAGAAGATTCCATTCTGAAAAGAAGCTACGTAAGTCTTTCTTTTGTCCACAGGCATGATGTCAACATAACCACCATGATTTCGAACCACCCCAGCATGGACTGCGGCTCTGCAGATACTGGAAAGCTGATGAGGAAAGAAAAACCATGATTCGTAATTCCTGCTGACTTTGTCTAGCCCACTTTCTTCCAAATTAAAAGCACTGAAATCTGTCTCTATGTGGAAAGCCAGTGAGCAGCTTCGGGATAATACTTGGTGTGAAAGACAATATTTTAAAAGTCACAAAATCTAAGCAAGTCTAAAGGTAAATTATTGGGGGCTGCCAGATCCCTGCAGCAAGTACTTACGCTGTTCAAGCAGCAGGCTTTTAAAATGTGGAAGTAATAAAAAAAACAAATTAGCTTCTTTTGTCTCTGCAAGGGCCCATTGGGCATCCTTAAATTTCAGGCTTTTTCTTCACACCAGAGTCTCTGGCCAAATATCCACAAGCTGGAACATCTGTACCTCATTTATGTTCAGGTTCGACTTACAAATAACTCAAACTTATCTCTATAAACTTTTTTCCCAAGTGCAAGTATATATTAAATGGGAGCTTCTTCTTTTAAAATATTATAATGCATACAAAAAGTTTTCCTTTAAAGAATTGTTGTTAAGTGCCATCAAATCATTTCTGACTATAGTAACCAAGGAGCTCTGGTAGTGTAGTGCTTACAAATCGGGCTGCCAATCTCAAAGTCAGCAGTTCAAGACTGACCAGTGGTTCCATGGGAGAAAGATGCGGCGTTCTGCTCCCGTAAAGATTTACAGCCTTGGAAACCCTGTACAGGGTCCCTAAGTCGGAACCGATGCCATGGTACTTAACAACAAAAACAACACAGGGCTTCTGTAGAGCGACTAGTGGGTTTGAACTGCTGATCTTGTGGACCTTATGGTTAGCAGTTCAGTGTTTATCCTACATTGCCATACCAGGACTCCTGAAAGAATAACCCCAAGTTTTAACAATAGAAAAGCAATCATAGCTTCAACCTAGATTTTCAGTGTCTGTCACCCTAGTTTGGTCTGAAATGGACTACTAAGGAAGTTATATGATTAGATTGTACCAGTGTGGTGCAATGACTTATTTAATAAGGGTCTTCTAGCCAAATCTTTGTAACTACCACCAAATTACTGGGTGGGACTATGCAAATGAAACTCTAATGATGGGATTAGTTAGTTGTGCCAGTCCACTAGGCTTAAAATGAACCATTCCAAAAGGAAAGAGGGATCTCAACACTACCAAGAAAGAAGAGCCAGGAATAAAACTCATCCTTTGTACTTGGGATCCCTGCACTGACCATTTCGTTGACCTGGGAGGCAGAACTGTAACACCTTACTGAGATGGTGAGAGACAGGAGACAAGGCAAGAAGCAGTGACAGAAAACCAGCCATGGCAGGAAGCTGGCAGGTGATAGTGCTGTGGGCTTCCAGACTTACAGAGAGAAAATGCTGAGTACCTTAGAGAAGGACACTTGTTGATAGAGTGAAGTGGGGTGGGGGTGTGGTGTCAAGGAACTTGGTAGAGCTAGGTTTGCTGACCCATGGAACTAGAGTAGAGCTTCTTCAAATCGAGGTTTAGTTGCATGTTGAGTGCCTCTAAGCACTTAGTGGTGTTGTTGTTAAGTGCTTGTCCAGTCAGTTTTGACTCATAGCAACCTTGTGTAGGGTTTCCAGGGAGCTTAAACCACTGACCTATGATTCCAACTGAATTTGCAGTCCAGCACATTACACACAGTGCCACACCAGGACTCATTAACAGAGGTAAAAGAGCTTTCTAACAGTTAAACATAGCTGGTGTGGCTTTGTAGGATCAGCACTTGACTGCAAGGTCGGTGTTTTAAACTCACCAGCCGCTCCTCAGAAATCCTATACATGGTTGTTACGAGTCAGAATCGACTCTATAACACTTAACAACAACAACAACAAGCATAGCTGAGGCTACAAGGCCATGGGGCAGAGAGACCAAGAGTCAGAGCGATACATGCACTGCTGAAAATAGGCTGTCCTGATCAAAGAACAATATAAAATAATTTCTGGTCCTCAATTTAACTTCCTAATAAACACCAAAATCATGAACATTTTCTGTAGAGTTCTGTGTGGCCACTGTGATGGATTATCAAACCCAACAGGAAAACAGAGAGGGCCGTGGCAGAGCCAACTGATGTCAAATATGATGAAAAGGTTGGAGACCTCATCTCATATGAATCAGCCTTGGACTGTTGGTCTGGATTCTCCTTCCAATACTTGTGAAATTGGAGGAGGTCACATGCCTCTGCCACACCAATCTCTCAACGTGTTACGTAATCTGAAGGAGCCTAGGTGATGTAGCAGTTAAGCACTTGCTTGCTAATGGTAGTTAGGCAGTGTGAACCCATCAGTCACTTCTGGGAAGAAAGATGTGGCAGTCGATGTCCATTAAAGTTACAGCCTTCAAAACCTTCTGGGACAGTTCTAGTCTTTCATATAGGCTCACTATGAATTAGAATTAACTTGATGGCACTGGATGTATAATCTGAATTAAATGGAATTTCTATGGAGAAGAAAATTACTGTTTTAGGTCCAATACTCTCATTTTTTTTACACTTCTAAGTTCTAAAAGACATGTGCTTTATTTTGGCTCATTAGAGTCATCTCTGGAGTCCTGGTGTGGCACTGTGGTTTAATGGACTGCAAAGTCGGTTTTAACCACAGGGCAGTCTTTCAGGCTCACCAGCCGCTCCTCAGAAACCCTATACAGGGTTGTTAATAGGTCAGAACCAACTCGAAGACACTTAACAACAATAATAACAGAGTCATCTCTAGATCTTAACCTTTGCTTTTACCCAAATGTTCTATCAAAACTTGTCGTTATCTGAATATAGCCGGAAGAAATCTTTATAAAATGAAACATTTGAACTTTATAAAATGAAATATTGTTTCAGTATAAAGTCATTCATTCCCTTGTCCCCAACAGTCATTTCTCATTGATCTGGTACATTTTTTTCTCATTTTTGCGCTTTTCAACTTCACATAAGCATGCATCGGATCCTTTTCAATACCTGGCTGAGAAATCAGCATTTCCACCACAGATATGTTGAATCAAAACACATTTTATTTTAACAAGATCCCCACCTCTATACCTAAGAATCATCTGGGAATATTATTAAAATGTAAATTCTACTTCAGTCAGTATATTTGGAGTTGTTGTAAGTTTCATCGATTCAGTTCCTGACCCATAGCAACCCCGTACAAGGTTTCCAAAGAGCACCTGGTGGGTTTGAACAACTGGCCTTGTGGTTAGCAGTCCAGTGCTTATCCTACAACACCACAATGCAAATTGTCAGCAAGGTGTTGAATAGGAATGAACTGATACAAAGCCCTGCTTTCATTCATTTAGCGCTTTTGCTATATTACAAAATGTCTTATGTCTAAAATCCTGCATTTTTACTTCAAGGAGGCATCTTACTCATCATTTAAAGACCTTCATTTAATTAATATTTGTATTCCATATGGTTTATCATTAATGAGATTAAAAAAAATAGTTCTGTACATAATTCAGTATTTTGTCAAGGCAACAAAAGTACTTAACATAGCATTTACTAAATTCAAATAGTTAATGAGTTTGGAAACTATTGTTTTGCCTATAACTATGCAATCAACAGGCATTCCTTTTTTATCTTAAATGTCAGGAGAAATTTTCTTTTCATGTCCTCATTCATAGGAAATAATGTATCATATAAAGAAAGAAGTGAGACAACTTTAATGGATGTAGAAATGAATTCCATCTGTAATAAACCAGAAATAAAAGTTCAAAGCATTTCAAAAGTAATAGAATGTGCAAGCTGTCACCCTATAAATTTTAAGTGAGGAAGGAACTGGTTGTAGCAATGAATGAAATTACTCAGGTTGAGGAAGGAAGGAAAGAAGGGAGGGTCAGAGGGAGAGAAAAAGGAAGAAAGATTGATTGGTTCTTACCTTCATCATGAACCTTAAGAGAGAATAACCTTTGTAGGTGCCATGTTTTGTTATGATGTAGGAAGATTGCAACTAATGGTTGGAACTCTGACTCTTATTTATCATGTGATGGGTAAGTGCCACAGAGTTGGTTTCCAACTCATAGCTCCTCAGAAAACGTATGGTTCTCAGGAGTGGTTGCTGGGTTCCAACTGTCAACCTGTGGTTAGCAGCCCAGTGATTATTCACCAGCACCACACCAGGGTTCCTATCATGTGATATTGTTGTTGTTAAGTGCCGCAGAGTCAGTTCTAACTCTTAGTGGCCTTGTATTATTGGGTTTCTAAGGAGTGACTAATAGTAGTCTTTATATTTCAAACTTACTCTTGGAAGAAACTATAATACTTATAAATATTCCCTACCCATTTCAATAAGGCAGGAAGAGTAAATGATCTCAGGATATAGATCACAACAAAAACTTAATTCTAGCAGGGAAATAGTTTAAAGATGTGTGCGATATTTGTATCATTTCTATCAGACATAACTAAAACGAAAAGTTCTGATGCTTAAAGAGGCAACCTGGTGGGTAGGGAGAACTTCTCTTTGGAAGGTGGCAGATTTGTTCATATATAAACACTTAATATTTTGGCTTTTTATCCATAAAAGATTGATGTGTAAGGTACTTGTTTAATGCTGAATGTCACTGTGTGCCCTAGGCTCTCTTTTAAGGCAGGAAGCAAGCCTGCCTTGTTTGCAGTTTGGCACACATGCCATTGCAGATGAATGAATGATCAATGATTACTCAGCTGCTTCCCTCAAGGAACTATGAAACTATAAAAAAGGTGGAAAAACAATCCGAATACTCAACAGAATCTGCTAATCCCTAAAAGGAAAAAAAAAAAAAAATTATAGAACTTCAAAGAAGGATGATATCATACTTGGACTGAGAGATGCAGGAATATACCTTAAAAAGACAGTGGCAATCACGTAGGATGGGAAAAATGACAGATAAAAATGAAGGGGAAAATTGTTTGCATTTTAAGCAGTTCCTTTATCTCCAATTCTTACCACCTCAAAAACTTAAGAAAACCTACTTGTTATTCCTGCATGAAACCCACTTGCTTTAATCTTCATGTCCCTGTACATGCCATTCATCCTCTCCAGAATGTGTTCCCTAATCCTCTTTACCAAACTACAACTGTAAGCCTAGCTCACAAAGAGATTATCCATACTGAAGTTATCATAGCTAATATTCCCAGTCCAATGCCAATAATTTCATTCAAAATATCAGAGAATCAAAACCAGATAAAACATGGAACCATGTGAGGGGATATTGTAAACATGTCATAAACAGCCCCTTACCTGGTTTTCTTTTGTATATATTTTAACGTTTTATTTATTTGTGGTTTTATGGTATTTTTTAAACACTCCTTAGGCAAGGAGGATACTGTTCATAAGCTTGATGAATTCTTAATTGTTCAGAAATATAAATTTCAAATACTAAAGAACTAAAACAAAGGTTAACATGTGTCTTCCTTCCCAAGAATACCTCCAGCAATTTTATTAAGTGCCTGATATACCAGACATGGGTGGTGGTGGTAGCAGTAGTGGTGGTTATGTGCCGTGGAGTCGGTGCCAACTCATAGGACCCTGTATAGGGTTTCTGAGGCTATAAATCTTTACAGGAGCAGAAAGCCTCATCTTTCTTCCACGGAGCAGCTAGGAGATTTGAACTGCTGACTGTGCAGTTGGCAGCTCAGGTCTTAATCCACTATGCTAACAGACATGGGTAGGATATGAAAATAAAATGAACCTAATTATGTGCTCATATGTGCTATGGATAACCATTCTTTGGAATCCTGATGTGGTGCTGCCAGAGTAAACTGTGGACTGCTAACTGAAAGGTCAACGATTCAAACCCACCATCTGCTCTGGTAAACACTATTGGGGTCACTATGAGTCCAAATTGATTTGAAGGCACTTCAACAACAACATTCATTTTTCAATATTAATGACTAGTGAGACAATGTTTATCAACACAAAATTTTAGTTCCTTGATCTGCATATCAATGCGTATGTATACATTTAAATGAACAAGTATGCACATATATATATATATATATATATATATGAATACAGAGAGTTGTTTGAATTAGGATACTACTTACATCTGAATAAACACGAGTCCCGATTACACGAGCATAATGGGGATTTGACTGCATACAGTTTCGAGGACAGTAAACTCTGAGGAAAAAAATAGATATACATATACATAAAGCAAATTGGTTTCTTTAGCCTTTCATAGTATCAAAACCATAGATATACATATGCAAAAGTAACTCAACATTTCAAATCCTACTGATTTTTTTTTTTTTTTGCTTCCCTAAAATAAGTCAATTATACAAGTCAGGCAGTAGACACAATTGCTTCTGTTTGTTTGATCTACTTTCAGAATTTAATACACATATCATTCTTACTCATGTATTAATTTTAATTTAACCAGGAAACGTTCTAATTTGGGGGCTCAAAAGAAAGAACATGATAAAATAATGAAGTATCTAGATATGTGATCTCTAAAAATCTGCAGACTTTAATAAACATGTTTCTTGAAATATCTGAATTATTGTCTGTTTCACACATCTCATAGTGTCACTTTTCGAAATTCACATTTTTAGTGATCTCACCCAATTTCATGGTTTTAATCAAGTGTCGATTCCCAAATTTACATCTCCAGTTGGGATCTCTTCTTTAATTCCAAACTGTAACTTCACTGATCCTACTGCTTAATCACCATCTCCATGTAAAATGAACAGGCATCTCAAGTTGGTTGTTGTTGTTGTTAAGTGCTGTTGAGTTGGTTCCGACTCAAAGCAATCCTGTATAAAGTTTCCCTGGAGTAACTGGTGGGTTAGAACCACAGTCTTTGTGGATAGTAATCCGGTGCTTATCCTACACCACTACACGAGGACTTCAATATCCCATGTTTAGCATGTATAAAAACAAAGTCCTAATTGAATCCACAACCCCAAAATGTGCTTTGTATTCACACCTCAATAAATGGCAACATCATATTTCCAGGTGCTCTGGTACAAAAATCTTTATTCTATCCTTGATCACTCTTTCTTTACCGCCTATCTTACATTCAATTCATCAGCAACTTCTATTGTCTATAATAAGGTCCCAAGGATTTCCAGCAGCATTGTTGTTGTGAAGTGCCATCGAGTTGGCTCCAAGCGAAAGCAACCCTGTATAGGGTTTCTTAGGTACAGCTGGTAAGCTTGAACTGCCAACCTTACAGTTCAAATGGCTTTGCAGTCTGGTGCATTATCCCACAGAGCCATTAATTACAAACTGGACTTCTAACCATAAGGTAAGCAGTTTGAATTTACCAGTCACTGAAACCCTATACAGAATCACTATGAGTCAGAAGCAACTCGACACACTTATCAAGAACCACTGCAGGAGAAAGATGAGGCTTTCCACTCATGTTAAGATTTACAGCCTCGGAAAACCTATACAGGGTCACTATGAGACCTTGGTGAAATGCAACCACCACCACCACCACAATAAGTTTCCAGAGTGGTTGAAACAGTTTGCAATCAGTAGCTAATCTAAAGGTTGGTTGGTTGAAGCTGCCCAGAGGCTCTGCAGAAGAAAGGCCTGGAAAACTGCATCAATAAAGATTGATGCTGTTGTTAGTTGCTTTAACATAGATTTAGATTCATGACTACCAATGTGTACAGAATAGAACTGTTCAGTAGGATTTTCAAGGCTGTGACCTTTTGGAAGCAGATTGCCAGACCTTACTTCTGATTGCTTCTGAGTGGGTTTGTACCAATAACCTTTCAGTTAGTAGTCAAGTATCTAACCATCTAAACAACCCAGGGCCTCCTCCTGTAAAGATTACAACCAAAAAAAAAAAAAAAAAAACTCTTTAATTTGTATTCATACCTCAAGCCAGTTCTGACTCATAGCAACCCTGTATAGGATTTCCGAGGGGGGCAGACGAGCTTAAACCTCAGACATTTCAGTTCAAACCAATTTTGCAGTCCAGCACATTAACCCTCAGCGCACACCAGAACTCCGAGCTGCAAGGTTTTTGTTGTTGTTAAGTACCATGGAGTCAGTTCCTACTCATAGTGTGACCATGTACAACAGGGTTTCCGAGGCTACAAATCTTTACAGGAGCAGAAAGTTTCATCTTTTTCCTGTGGAAGACCTGGTAGTTTCAAACTGCCAAATTTGGGGTTAGCAGCCTGATTTGTAAGATAGGTTGTTCAAATATACCAGCTGCTCCTTGGTAGCTATGAGTAAAAAATGATTTGATGGCACTTAATAACAACAATAACAACAGCAATCTATTTTCCATACACTTAAATTGCAACATATAAACCCCATCAGGTCATTGTTGTTATTGTTTTGTGCCGTGGAGTCAGTTCCGACTCATAAGGACCCTGCACAGGGTTTCCGAGGCTGTAAATCTTTATGGGAGCAGAAAGCCTTATCTTTCTCCCGTGGAATGGCTGGTAGTTTCAAACTGCTGACCTTGTGGTTGGCAGCCCGATTCGTAACCACTATGCTACCAGATCTCCTTAATCATGTCATTATTCTGCTCCAAATATTCCAGTAACTTTTTATCACATTCTTAACAAATGGCAAAACCTTTACATATTCCATCAGCACATGACCTCTCTGACCTATCCTACTCCTCTTCCACTCTTAGTTGACTCCAATTACATGGACCTAATGGTGTGGCTTGTGTGGCGCTGTGGGTTAATGCGCCAGACTGCAAAGCTGTTTGAAGTATAAGGTTGGCAGTTCAAGCTCACCAGCTGCTCCTTGGAAGCCCTATACAGGGTCGCTATGGGTTGGAATCGACTCGATGGCACTTGACAACAACAATGGTGTGGCTCTGTTGGTTAATGTACCAGACTTCAAAGACGTTTGAACTGCAAGGTTGGCGGTTCAAGCACACCAGCTGCTCCTCAGAAACCCTATATAAATTCACTATGAGTCGGAATCAACTCATTGGCACTTAACAACAAGAACAATGGCTATTTATCAAACATTCCAAACAGGTTCCTACCTCAAGGCATTTGTATTTATCCTTCTCTCAGGATGAAATGCTCTTTCTCCAGATATCTTATTGCTTCAAAGATATCAGATTGGCTTAGCTCATTTAAAAAGCATTTTCAGTCTTTTTTTATTTAAATGTGGTGTCTATCAATCACATGCTATTTTTAAAAAAAAGTCCATAGCCAGAGTTCAAGAAACTTTCAAATGGTACTTTTTTCAAAAACTCTTTTGGATCTTCCTTAGGTTCTTAAGTCTACATTGTGAAAGTCCAAATAAATTTCTTATTTCTAAAATGTGTATAACACTGTACAATCTAAATTGGATACACTACAAATAATAACTAAACCAGAATCATTTAAACATTAGTAAAAAAAAAAAAAAATCTGAGCTTTAGTAACTTTAAATTAGAGGGTTGATTTATATAAAAGATGCTGTCTGGGGTTTCTATAGGAAGAATGGTACCTCCCCTCATTAACTGTAAAATGATCTCATTGTATTTGGGGACGATCGGGTATTCATTGCACACTTTAACCACCTGCTCTACATTCTGGATCAGGCTGTGTGAGCTCTACCTTATCCATATTTATTTAGTTTGCTGAGGGTCAAAGAGCACAGAAACTTCAAGCTTTTTGTCTTTCCTTAGACAACTCAGGGAAAAGAAATACAGATGGAGGGTTTTGCTTATTTGTTTTTCAGTCACTTGTTTTAACATACTACTGAGAATCCTTTATCTACAATTTGCTTAGGAGCTTTGAATAAAAATTTATGACACATTTTAACAACCCCTACTTTTTCATCTTGAATACTTAGTGGACTTTGAAGGCCTAATTGTTTTTGTTGTTGTTGTTATGTGCCGTGGAGTCGGTTCCATCTCATAGTGACCCTGTACAGGGTTTCCAAGGCTGTAAATCTTTACAGGAGCAGAAAGCCTCATCTTTCTCCCACAGAACATCTGGTAGTTTCAAACTGCTGACCTTGAGGTTCACAGCCCAATTCGTAACCACTGCGCTACCAGAGCTCCTTTTAGGTTGATGTAAACAAGTATGAACATTTCAAAATCAAACATACATACTAAAACACACACAAAAGTAATTTCTACAAAATTATGTTATTAAGTAGTAGTTTATTTTGGGTTCTGCCAGAGACAGGGAATCTCTCAAAGAAGCAACTATGTAGGTAATTTCAATAACAGGTAAAAGTCTTTCTATTATTAAATGTAAAATTATAAAAGATATTTCTGAAAGCTTTCAGAAATATTTTTTTTAATTATAATTATTATAAAGTTTTTACTTTAAAAAAAACCTTCATTTGCGCTATTGCTTTAGGCTAAATTACAGGAGAACAAAATCTAGAAGAAGGAGAAGGGAATTACAAAGGATTAAATAAAATTAAACACTGGTAAAGGAGGCACTTAACAACAACAACAAAGGAGGTTTTAAGTTGTGTTGGATGTGTTTCAAAACCCCACTCATTCAGAAGAATATTTTAAATGGAGCAAGATGAAATTGATTCTAACCACACAATATTCTAGGATTGAACAATATTTGTTACTAGAAAGAATATTAAGGCACTTTTCAACTGGTACTTTGTGTCCTGTTCACAAAGAAGAGTTCCACCCATACAAAAGCAGAATTAGTACTCAGTGCAGAAGAGGAGTCTTCCCTTTTGGTCTTAGATTTTTCTAAGAAATCCAAACAATGCCCAGTTTTACAAGATAAAACAATAAAATTAGGATGGCAAGAAAACAAATAGTTAGGTAACTCACAAAAATATGCCATCCCACTTTTACCTAAAATCATGAAATTGCAATTTATGCAGTGAAGAAAAAATTGGTGCTCATGACCAAATTGATAATAATACCTTATTATACCTTAAACAGTGTCACACAATTTTAAAGGCTTCACTACTTACACCAAAACTCAGTAAATCAAATTTTTACAGTCAATGCAATTTTAAAATATAATCAAGCTACCTATGTGAAGTAAATCTTTCAGCAATTAATCATTATAAATAATTACATAACTATAGTCTTACTTGTTCCATACTTAAAACTTCCTTTTGCCTGCTAAAATACACTGGTATACCTTAATAATAGTGTTTTATGACTGCAGTAAAAATGTCTTTTTAATAATATTCTAAAAGTTTTCATCTTCATTTGATCAAAATATTAATATATTTTCCACTATTTTATGGTTTACCCTATTATAATTTTTAAAAGATTGCTTACAATAAAAAAAGAAAGAAGATATGTTTTTGCCTTACCAACTTCAATTAAATTAAACTCATTTTAAAACTAGATAAAAATGTTTAAAAATATGAATTATGTCATTTTCGTTTCTGTGAAAAGAGCTCCTTGCAGTACATGGAAACTCAGAGATTATATGCAGTGCATGTAACTGTTGTTATCACATTGCTCCCTTCTGTAAGCAGTTCAAGATCACACACCATTTAAATCCTAAAGATATTAGCATGACAGAAAAACCTTATCAAGGGGCCCAAAAGCCGTAATTTTCCCAGATAAAGAAGCACAATAAAATGTCTAAAATGTTACCTGGGGCAGTGTGAAGCAGGCTTATGAAATGGACACAGTTGTTCCACAGTTGTTTCACAGGTGATAGCCTGAACTATAAGAATCAAAACACAGAACAATAAGCATCTCCTTTGGAAGTAATAGCATTCACCATAACAGTAAGAGAAACAGATAAAAAGCCAAAGTGCTAACCTGTTACTTTAGAGACTGTGAAGGAATTAGCAGACTGATATTTGCTGCAGATAAAGAAGACAGAAATGGGTCATTTACTTTTATTCATCATTATCAGCATAATGTATTTTACAGGATTAGGAATATTTATTTCTTCTTAATCATCCTTTAAAAAATATCTATATATTCTGCACGTTAATGTGCTGGACTGCAAAGTTGGTTTGAACAGCAATCTTGGTGGTTCGAGCTCATCAGCCACGCCTCATAAACCCCATACAGCGTTGTTATGCTAACTACATATTACTTGGGGAACACGAACACGGCGGCTCTGAGGATAATCTCTGAACAGTGAGCCAGAGGCCGGCAGTCCAAGTCTACCAGCTGCTCTTCAGGAGAAAGATGAGGCTTTCTGCTCCTGTAAAGATATGTTATTGTTGTTGTTGTGTGCCACTGAGTTGGTTCCCACTCACAGTGACCATGTATAGGGCTTCTAAGAGTAGCTGGTGGATTTGAACTGCCAACTTTTTGGTTACCAGTCCAGTGTTTTTACTACAGCTCAACACCAAGTCTCCTCAGAAACCCTGTACATGGTCACTAGGAGTCAGAACTGACTCCACAGCACTTAACAACAACAACAACACCTTATCTAGGAGTCCTAGTGATGCAGTGGCTTATGCTTTACGCTGCTAACTGAAAATACAATCCAAATTACCATCCTTGACATTAAAAGATATCTTTTCATTAGTTATAGATAACAGCATAAACCCAACAGTACATATTGATACATATTTTTCCTGTCAAAATTAAAACTTTCAATATACTACACTTCACTGTTGCCACAAAGACCAGCTAATCTTTTACAGCAATAAATGCAAAGCTATTCTGACTCAGAGCGACCCTGTACAGGATTTCCAAGGCTGTAAATCTTTATGGGAGCAGAAAGCCTCATCTTTCTCCCTTGGAACAGCTGGTAGTTTCGAACTGCTGACCTTGCGGTTCACAGCCTGATTCGTAACCATTATGCTACCAGAGCTCCTTAAATGCAAAGTAGTGCTATAAAAAGACTACTAACTAATTGGTATACCTTAAGGAAGCATGTTTTATGATCTTTTTATGTGTATGCCACCAGAATCTAGTATGTCTACAATGAATGAATAAATTTCCCTGTTAGTACATGAATTTTTGAAAAACAGAAATATAAGTTCTGTGTACCACTGCATATCAAAATTTTAATTAGTCAGGTTTTCAGAAAAAACCTCTATTACAAAAAGTAAGGTTTATTTGTAATGCTCCACTTTAACAAAACACACCCTCTTGTATTCATTAACTCAAGACTAAAGGTGTCGGAAAATTTTCACAATCATTTATTTTTGTCAACTTCAAATTCAGTTTTAATAATCATCTATAAGGAGTCCTGGTGTGGTGCTGTGAGTTAATGCGTCAGACTGCAAAGTCAGTTGAACTACAAGGTCGGAGGCTCAAGATCACCAGTTGCTCCTTGGAAACCCTATATAGGGTCACTGTGGGTCAGAACCAACTCGACGGCACTTAACACAACAACAACATAATGTACACACAACAATAAAAAATATTCTTTGAAGCACAAAACATACAAACTATTTAAATGCAGCCTTCAAATTTCAAGAGAATTTCTATAATATACATAATCAACATTTAAGTTTAACGGAATAAAATTAACTAATAAGATAAACGTTGTTTAACACAATGCCGAATGCTTAGTTCACTGAAGATAATAAACTAGTATTTATTATTTACTGAAAGTAATTAATAGAATATTATATACATATGCTATTCTACCAATAAACATGAGTTTTAATAAATTGTTTTATTTTTTTATCATTCTGGCTTCTAACTTAACCCCAGTGTAGAGTTTCATGTGATCATATAGTTCAAAAGTGAAAAGACAATGTTATATGTTCTAAGAAAAGGCATTATTATGAAGATCAATAATGTTTCTATTTTATGGAGGAGAAATGGATAAAACAAAGTGTATATTTTTCTATAATGTAGATATAAAACTAAATGGTGTTTTAGAATATTTGGTGTCCTTGATGAGAGAAACCTTTCAAAAATGAATTAATAAACACTTAATGGGAAAAAAATGAGTATTTTCCTTTTGAAATCAGGAACAAGGCAAACGTATCCACTTTTGCCACTTCCATTCAGTACTGTATTACAAGTCCTAATCAGATCAGTAAGACAGGAAAAAGAAATAAGTTTGGTTCCCAAATTGGAAACCCAAACCAAAAACCACATCCACTGCCATGGAGTTGATTCTGACTTAATATTGACTCTATAGAACAGAGAACTCTAAGACTGTAAAGCTTTTAGGGAACACACAGCCTCATTTGTCTTCCATGGAGAAGCTGCGGGGTTGAAGTGCTGGATTTTTGGCTAGCAGCCCCATGCTTCCTGGTGTGGCACTGTGGGTTAATGCGCCAGACTGCAAAGCCATTTGAACTGCAAGGTTGGCAGTTCAAGCTCACCAGCTGCTCCTCAAAAGCCCTATACAGGGTTCTAGGGGTCGGAACTGGCTCGATGGCACTTCACAAAAACAACAACAACAAAGCCCAATGCTCAGCCCACTACACCATCAAGGCTTCTTTCAGATTAGAAAAGAAGTAATATTGTCTCTTTTCATGGACAATATGATCCTATATGCAGACAATTCAAGAGTCCACAAGGAAATGTCTAGAACAAATGTACAGGGTACAATGTCAACAAACAAAACTCTGTTGGAATTAATTAGACCATCTAAAAAAAAAATCTAGAATAAATTTAACCAGGGATATAAGAATTTATACAATGAAAATGAAAACACTGCTGAAAAATATTAAAGAAGACATAAATAAATGGAAAGATGGGGAACTATCTTCAGTAATCATGTATCTGATAAGAATCTAATAACAAAAATATATACAAAACTTCAACAACTTAACAACAAAGAGACAAACCAATCATAAAATGGGCAAAAGTGTTGAAAGACATTTCGCCAAAGAGGACATTCAAGGCCACCGAACACATGAAAAGATGTTCAACGTCACTAGCAAATCAGAAAAAGGCAAATTAAAACCATAATGAGATACCATTGCACTTTCATTAGAATGACTATGATTAAAACAAAATAATCTAGAAATTAACAACTGTTGGACAGGAGGTGGGAAAACTGAAACCTTTATCCATTGCTGGTAGGAATTCAAAATATAACATTATTGAAGAAAACAGTGAGAAGGCTCCTCAAAAAACTAAAAATGGAACTGCCCTGTGACCCAGCAATTCTATTCCATTTCCAAATAGGGACTCAGAGAATTGTACATCAATGTTCACAGCAGCACTAGTCAAAAGTGGAAACAACTGAAATACTGATTAACAGATGAAACAATTAACAAAAGTGTGGTACGTACATACAGTGGTACATAAACAAAAGTGTTGATACATGCTTCTATATGCTTGATATCGAAGACTCCATGCGGAGGAAATAAGTTAGTCACAAAAGGACAAATATTGCTGTGACCTTACTCAGACAAAAGATGAAAAAAAAAAAAAAAGCAATGTATAAAAACTAAAGTTTATTAGTAGTTACCTTGAGCAGGAAAAAAAACAACAGTCAATTCCCATTAATAGTGACCCTATAGAACATAGTAGAACTGTCTCAAGATTATATCTGGGAAATATCTGGAAGCAGCCACATCATTCTTCTACAGAGCCACTGGTGGGTTTGAACTGACAATCCTTAGATTAGCAGCCCAGTACTTAATCACGACACCACAAGAGTTCCTTTCCAGGGGCAGGTGGAGAAGAAAAGGGACAGGAGGGCTATTGATGATGGAAAAACAGCACTGATTACCATTATTGTACTTGGTGTTAGTGTGCACATGTAAAAAAGTTGAACTAGCAAAAACTGTGATAGTGTGGTACCCCTGAATTTACTTGATTTGGCTTTATTATCCAAAGTCTTAAGTCCCACCAAATGATTGGGTGGGACCATGTAAATAGGGTATACAGAACTCTACCTCTAGTACTGGTTAGTTTTGCCATCCGCTAGGTTTAAAAAGAGCCATCTCAAAAGCAGGGACAGAAGATCCCAGGACCAACAAGAGAGAAGAAGCAGGATAGTAATGTGAGATCCCTACCTGAGAAAGCAGTGGTAGCAGAGGTGGTGGCAGAGGTAGCGGCATGGAGAGACAGAGCAGCTGCAGTCTTCCTAGCCAAAGGACCAACCAAAACTGAGTGCCTACAAGCAGAAGGCTGACTATCAAAATATGACCTTTGGGTACTTAAAGATAGTGCTTAAAGAGATTTGTAACACTTGCCTGAGCAAGGCAGAGGCCAAGGGGCAACATGGCTTAGATGCAGAAGACAAGGAAGAGGAGACTGAGGAGTGTCTGCAGTACAGAAGAGAAGAAGCGTTCCTGACTGGTAGATTGCTGTATCCTGAGTTGTTTCTGCTCCTGAATTGTATCCTATTCACTTCCTTAATACATTCTATAATCTTAAGTATTGTCTAGGAGTTCTGTGTGGGCACTGCAACATATTATCAAACCCTGATGTGGAACACAGAATGCTATGGAAGGGATGGTTGGTGTCAGAAGAAGACAAAGGAGGTTGTAGGGTGGAGCCATGCCTGACCTCTGCTGCAGAAGAATCCATCTTGGGCTGATTTTGAGTTTGATTACCCTCCCCTTTGCAAAACCAACGGAAGGCAAATATGGCCTCCAAACCATTTCTGGAGATTTACTATATGACAAAAACAAAAAACAGAGTTCTTATGTACAGCCTCATGGTATTTCATTCTTTGATTTTGAGGCTTAGGGTAGTTTCATGGGACAACCCAGTTAATTGGCTTAGTAACATGTTTAGTTCTTCTATTCTATCTTCTAGTTTGTGTCCTAGTATCTGGGGTCTTAAAAGCTTGGAAATGGCCAACAAGGCAGGCAAATTGTTCTCTATTTTATTGGAGAAACAGAGAAGGATAATAAGGAATACGAAGGGGGATATCAAATGTATGGTTTAATTGCTTCCATGAACAGCTGCTTCCTTTACCATGAAACCAGCAGGTCTGGATTCATGCCCAGCTACCATTATGGAACATTCTAATCAAAGATTTGACAAAACAATTCTGATTAAAAGTGGGGAAATGCAGAACAAAATTTCAAATTCTTATGGACTCTAGACTTTTGGGAGTCATGGGAGTTAGATGAATCCCTGATACAACTGCCTTGAGATAACCTCTGAAACTTTAACCAATAATATCCCCTGAAGGTTTCTTAAAACTAAACAGCCGTTCAGCTTTACTAATTAAAAATGTCTACCTTGAGCATTATGCTCCCGTAAAGATTTACAGCCTTGGAAACCCTATACAGGGTCGCTATGAGTCGGAACTTACTCCATAGCACACCACCACCACCACCTTGAGCATTATGCTTTTTAAAAAAATTTAGTTCACTTTTTTCACTCAGTTGTGAATTGAGTGAAGGCTTACAGACAAGATCATACACTTTGTTACATCTCCATGTTTAACAGTTATCCTGCCTCCTCCCTATGGTTCCTATTTGCATTCCATCCTCTTCTTATCCCTTCTCAACTTTATCCTTAGGACAATGTTGCCCTTCTGATTTTGAATGATTGATCATTCCATGGTGAGTAAACCTTGCTAGTATTGTCTCCCACCCATAAACCTATCTACTACTTGGCTAAAAATTGGACCAAAAGGTTCTCCAGTCTCTTTCTGACCAGTAAACCCACTTCTTCTTATTATTTTTATTAAATAATTTTGAGTTTTATTCCACATTTGCTCCCAGTCTATCCAGGACCCTCTAATGTGATCCCTTTCAGGGCAATTGGTAGTGATAGCCGGGCACTGTTTAGTTCATTGTGCTCTTTATAGAATTAACCATATGGGAACAAACTGACAACAGCAACCTGAAATATTAGATCGAAATTTAAGTGGGCAGTGAGTTAATGCCAATGGATGAGAAATAATTCAGAAAAGCAAGGTGAGGACCATTGTACAACTAAAAGAATGTAATGAATGTTACTGAATTTTGCAGGTATAGAGTGGAATTGATGTTTGGCTATGTATATTTTTAACAAAAACAACAAAATACATATTTCACAAAGTTAAAAAATGCTACAACATTACAGCAAATTATACTTAAAAACATAAAAGAAAGATGATATAGTATGTTACATATTTAGAGAACTTTTCAAAATGTTCTTTTACTTATTAACCTGATCTACATGAGAACATTTAATAAGTTTACTATTGTATGAAATATGTAAGTTTCCCTAAATGTTGTTGTTATGTCAAGTTGATTTTAACTCATAGTAACCAGATAGGGCAGAGTAAAATGACCCCAAAATCTTTATGGTCTTGGAAGACCTACAGCCAGAATGTTCCAGAGAAGCGATTATGACAAGACTTCATCTCACATACTTTGAATATATTATCCAGACAGACCAGTCCCTGGGCACCATGTAAAGGTCAGCAAAAAAGAGGAAGACACTCAAAGAGATGGATTGACACAGTGACTATAACAAGGAGATCAAACACAGGAATGATAGTAAGGGATGGGGCAGGACCAGGCAGTGGTCCTCTCTGTTCTACATATGCTTGCTCTGAGTCAGAACCAACTATAAGGCCCCAAACAACAGCAATCTTTATAGAAGTAGATCACCAGGTATTTTCACACTAGGAGCTTTTCAGTTAGCAGGTGGGTGCTTACCCACTGTTTCACTAGAACGACTTTATCTATAAATTGTTGTTGTTACATACCGTGGAGTCGATTCTGACTCATAGTGACCCTGCACAGGAATTCCGAGGCTAAATCTTTACGGGAGCAGAAAGCCTCGTCTTTCTCCCACAGAATAGCTGATAATTTCGAACTGCCGACCTTGAGGTTAGCAGCCCGATTCATAACCACTATGCTACCAGAGCTCCTTTTTTCTATAAATGTTGTTGTTGTTAAGTGATGTCGAGTCGATTCCGACCCAACAGCGACCCTGTATAGGGTTTCCAAGGACCAGCTGGTAAGCTTGCAATTCAAATGGCTTTGCAGTCTGGTGCATTAACCCACATAAATACAACCCTTAAAATATGCAAATAATGCATATCTTTTCTGGAGTGTTTTTTGTCAAGATGAAAAATAATTTAATGCTTCACACTGGGATTACCTGTGCTTTGTACATTTTCCAAATACTTTTGTAACTTTGGAATTTTTTTAGTATGCCCTTTATTACGTACAAGGGGTTGACTTTGAAAGTTTTAGATGCTTTTTCTACTTGTCTATGCAAGATAGAAGGAGTTCTCGTAGCAGAGTGGTTATGAATCGGGCTGCGAACCTCAAGGGCAGCAGTTCAAAACTACCAGCCATTCTACAGGAGAAAGATGAGGCTTTCTGCTTTGATAAAGATTTACAGCCTCCGAAACCTCAAATTCTCTCTTTACAAACTACATTCTAAGATTTACTCTTAAAAAAAAAAAAGTGTTATGTCAGTTACAATTTAAAATGATTTAATTCAAAAAGATCATTTGGGTACTTACCCAATTGACTGAATACCATTTCTGTTGGATTTGATGAAATAATGTTTCCTTCCTTGTCTAGTGATGTCTACCCAACCACCATCATTGTCTATTATACCATAATGGATTGCAGCTCTACAGATGCTAGATTGCTTGGAGAAAAGGAGAGAAGAGGAGATGTTACAATATTAGAATTCTGTCAAGGATATGAAAAGTTACTTACACATTTCTAACTGAAATAAAAAGGTAGGCAGTTCAAACCCACCAGCCACTCTTTAGAAACCCTACACTGGGTGGCTATGAGTTAGAACTGATTTGACAGCACTTAACAAGAACAACAACACATAAATCTAGCTGTGTTTCACATTAAGAAATCAAGCATTATATGGAAGAGCAATAGTCCCAAGTGATATTATTTTAATGCGTACCATTTCATAATGAACACTGCCAATCACTTTAGCTTTACTATCCAAACAGCCAGCAGGACATTCATATCTAAATGAAAGAAATTGGGAGAGAAAAATTAGTTTCTCTGAATTTCAGTAGAAAATAAAAGTAACTCTCAGATTTTGTGACTTAATATTGAGAAAAATAATAAATATTACCTATTACAGGTTGTTCCTTTGCACTGGTCTCTTAACCTTACTTCACAAGAAACAATTTGGGCTAAAAAGAGACAAACGAAATAGAATAACTTAAATAATGTAAAAGAGGTTAACTGCTGTATGAACTTGTCACCGTCTGAAAAATGTATCTCTAAGCGGTCCTATAATCAAAGAATTGTAAGTAACTGAATACAGTGGACACTGAGTCAGACTAAGAAGCAGAAATCCTCTTCAACTCTGAAGATGGTTGTTCTTGCTTTCATTTTAATTTCTGCTTTATCACTTGTTGTTTAAACATGAGAAAATATTTAAATTTTCTGAAACTTAGAAACTCCATCGATCAATTGTAAAGTAATACTATCTAAGTAATCAAGAATACTATGTATATAACCACAGATATTGTTGCCTCACAATTGTTGCCACACTTGAGCTCTCTGATGCTGCCATATTGCCAACCTATCTTTCTGGGGGTCTTCCTCCTTTTCTCTGACCCTCCACCTTACCAAACATGATATCCTTTTCCAGCGACTGGTCCCTCCTGACAATATGTTCAAATATGAGAAATGAAGTTTGGCCATATTGGCCTCCGAGGAGCACTCTGGCTGCACTTTTTCCAACACAGATCTGTTGGTTCTTCTGGCAGCCCATGGCACTTTCAATATTCTCCTCCAATACCATAACTCAAATGCACCAATTATTCTATGGTCTTCTTTATTCACTGTCCAGCTTTTGAATGCATATGAGGTTATTGAAAATATCATGGCTTGGGTCAGGCGCACCTTAGTCCTCAAGCTGATATCCTTGCTCTTCAACGCTTTAAAAAAGGTCTGTGCAGCAGATTGGCCTAATGCAATACATAGTTTGATTTATTGACTGCTGCATCTGTGAATGTTGATAGTTGATCCAAGAAGAATGAAGTCCTTGACAACTTCAATCTTTTCTCCGCTGATAAGAACGTTGTTTATTGGTCCAGTGGTGGTGAATTTTTTTTTTCTTGACATTGAGATGCAATCCATACTGAAGGTTGTGCTCTTTGATCTTCATCAGTAAATGTTTTAAGTCTTCTTCACTTTCAGCAAGCAAAGTTGTATCATCTGCTTATCGCAGGTTGTTAATGAGTCTTCCTTCAATCCTGATGCCATGTTTTTCTTCATATAACCCAGCGTATCGGATTATTTGCTCAGCATACAGGTTGATTAAGCATGGTGAAAGCATACAACCCTGTCTCACACCTTTCTTAATTTTAAACCATTCAGTGTTCCCATGTTCTGTTCTAACAACCGCCTCTTGGTCCATGTACAGACTCCTCGTGAGCACAATTAAGTGTTCGGGAATATTCATACTTCGCAATGGTGTACATAGCTTGTCATGATCCACATAATACAATGTTTATACAACCCTCATTAGATTAAGAACAGTACCACATAAATATATATTCATCTAGGAAAAATCGAACTAGAGTGTGTAGGTCAAGCATTCCTACATTTAATTACTATACAGTTCTGTAAGCTATTTAAATCAACTACCTATTATTAAAAGCTATTGAACGAAGAATGTTATTTAAGAAAATACTGAGAACACTTGTCTTTGGGATGTGATTCTTCTACTGTAAACCAAAATTTAATATTTTCACAGAATTCTAAGTGGGAATTAATAATTTTACCAAATCTCTTTTTCAATGCTAAAGAAAAAAAGAAATAAAGAAGGAAAAAAAGATATCTGAGATCTAGCATTAAGGAGAGATACAATTCTAACTATATACTGTAAAAAATATATTTTAAAATACTGATTACAAATTTTTTCTATTATGTCAAGTTCCAATTTTATATCAACAGCTACCTCTTCATAATACCTGCATATAATTTTACTTTATATTGTTTATATGATTATTTGCCCCAGTGTAAGAGAAATTGTGCTTGATTTTTAGCATAAGTTTATCCCATGGTCCCCAGTGATAAATGCAGGATTTAGCACATAGTGTGTTCTGAAATACTGGTATCAACACCAAGATTATTTTATGAAATTTTTAAGTAAGAGGGGCCTTCAAAAAGTTCATGGAAAAATTTCATTATCTCTCGATTCCATTTTTCCATGAACTTTTTGAAATCCCCTCCTACACAAGTGATAAGTTCCTGCCAATGCTGAAACAAGTCATGCAGAGAAAAGATGTCGTTGGTGTTATGTTCTGTAAAGTTGGATTTCCACTCACAGTTGATTCTGTGTATGACAGAAGGATGGTCTTGTGCCATCCTTACAATCGCTGCTATGTTTGAGCCCTTTGTTGCTGCCACTCTGTGAATTCATTGTGTTGGAGACCTTCCTCTTTCTCTGATCCTCTACTTTACCAAGGCTAATGTCCTATCCCCAGGACTGGGTCCTCCTCCAGGAAGGACTCAGAGGGAAGGATGCTACCTATAAAGTTAGCTGTGATGTTTAACAAATCGATTTTAATGGGCTGTTATTCTTAAGTACCACCAAATCCGTTCTGACTTCTATCAGTCCTGCATAGGGTTTCCAAGAAATGGGTTGGTGGTTTGAACTGCCAAACTTGAGGTTAGCAGTCCAATGTTTATCCTGCAGAACCACACAGAACTCCCAAAGGATCATGGCAATCATTAATTCAGCTATATTTCCAAAGTTTGGGCTTAAAGCATTGGCTCTTGCTGGTGACAGCATAGCATTATCTGCACAGTTAGACATGTAAACTGTAATATACACACTGCATATAAATAGTAGGAGAGTAATCTATCAGAAAGTATTAGTAGTTTGACATTTTCAAGAAAGAAATACATTAATAAAGACCAAAAATAGTTTGATTCCCTCACATATTGCAGATTAGTTAAAACTAGAAAGTCCACATAAAGAATAGTTTAATGTTTGAAAACAAAGTTATGTTCATTATCTTTAGTCAAGCATTAAATGTCTACTATTCTAAAATTGTTCAAAGTCATAATAATAAACAGATGGATGCACTATTTACATAAACTTTAAGGTTTTTGTGATTAGTCATGTTAGTGAAATGCAGTGGTCTTACACATTTGTTGTGTGCTTTTGACTTCATTTCTGTTGCTGTCATCTGCTCTTGTCCGAACGTGAGTGTCACGGACTTGTGACTGCTGCCGTTCAATTTCATTGGTTTCTTCTTCTCGAGGAGGGTAATACCTTTCTGATCCTTCTGTTAGAGAGAACAGATTGAAGAGATATGAATCCCATATTGTTGTTACATGATGTTGGGTTTGTTCCAAAGCATAGCGACCCTGTACAGGGTTTCTGAAGAGCAGGTGAGTCCCCAAATAACAATAAACCTTTATATGCCTACTTAACACTTAGAACTGCACAAATCAGTACTATTTTTGGCAAAGGTTGCATTTTAAAGCAGTCACCTCCAGTACTGCACTGGAGAAGATGAAATGCACATCAAAATCTGTGGGCCCCTGATTTATTCATTCTAACTTCTGATTAATATTCAATAGAGTCACTTCCAAACTTTTATTATACTGCAATATATTATCCATGTTTTTAAAAATTTTTAATTATCCATTAAATTTAATTATCCATTAAATCTGATGATCTAATGTCACTGTGGGATAATGAGCTAGACTGCACAGTCAGTTTGAACTGCAAGATTGGTGGTTCAAGCTCACAAGTAGCTCCTTGGAAACCCTCCAGAGGGTTGCTATGGGTCAGAACCGACTCAACAGCAATTAACAACAACAAATTAAGTCAGGATTTCAGGTATTTGCATCTTTCCAAACTGAATCATATTCTTAATATTTAGAAGATCACATTTAGAATTCTTCCTGACTCCCACTCCATACAAAATTAACCTAAATGATAGATATGCCTTTGTTGATTTATGATAATATCATGTTACATGCAGAGGTTTTTCTCTTTTAAAAGGAAATTCAGTGTACAGAAATTTAAGACTTGAAGATGGAGCTTAACTTCAGCCTAGATTTTTTCCCCCATATTAGCCTAGATCATGGAATTGAGAGTCGTACTTTTTGGAGAGGTAAATTATTGTATTCCAGCCCTTCCATGTGTATCCAAGAAACAGGAGTCAGAATAAGGCCAGCTCTGGGATAAGCACTTGACCATAAGGTCGGTTTGAACTGCCAGGTCGACGGTGCTAACGTGACAGCTGCTCCTTGGAAACTCTATATAGGGTCACTATGAGTTGGAAACAACCAGACAGCACTGAACAACGACATCAAATAAAAGACAATCTCCTGTTACTATAAGGTCTTCAATGGACTTAATGCGCTCAGATATACTAACCATCATGAAGATGGCTCAGGACCAAGCAACATTTCTTTCTGTTATACGCAAGGTCATCATGAGTCGAAACAGACACAATGGCAACTAACCACTTGTGAAGGGGAAGGTAGGTTGGAGGTTTGGGGTAGAAGGAGAAAAGAGATGGGTATTCACACAATGTAAAAATGCTTCTAGCACTTCCAAAAATTTGAAAATGGCTAAAACAACAGCATGAAATATATTATCACTGTCACTTCTTGCCTGCTTATTGTAGCTAGTGACCGTCCAGTCATTAAAAGGAAAAGAAAAAAAAAAAATCACATTTGTTTATGTGCACTGAAAAACGGAGGCATTTATTCAAATGTTTTCTGCTACACTTAATTTTCATTTAATCATCATGAAAAAAGTATAAGGAAGTAAAAAAATGTTTACTTGGATAGCAAACTAGAACATGACTTTTTACAAAGCTTTACACCACATGTATTTTATCTTCCTGAGTTATAAATAGGGCACTGTTTTTATGTTTCCTTTTTAGAAACATATGAAACTTTTCCATATGAAAAGTACATTTACAATAATTTAACAACACTTTATCCTTGTTTTTATTTCAATATAAGATATCATATACTCTCTACTGTTGCTGCTGATTAGTGTCATCGAGTTGGTTCTGACTCATAGCAACCCAGTATAGGATTTCCCAGGAGCAGCCAGTCGATGTGAACTGCCAACCTTGCAATTCAGAATGACTTTACAGTCCAGTGCTTATCCTACAGAGATACATCAGGACTCCACACTTTGTACTAAATTAGTATAATTCCCTGAGCATTGTTCAATAAAAACTATGGATAGGTATGTTGCTAAAAAAAAACTCTTAAAGGGATCAAAATATACTATAGCTAAACCCTTCAGCAATGACAGTTATGGAATGACTTCTGTCAATAATGCAAGAAGATGGTTTATGAGATTATAAGTAAACTGGTCAGTCTGTGAAAAATCCAAACAAAATTTAGAAGTAATTATCTGAAATAAGCACAAAAACATTGAGAGACATATTAGTATAATGGATGTATTAATGTTATAGATATTTTAAATGGTTTCTTTGCAAATCTAGAGTGCTATAAATTTTTCAAGTAAATGTCAAAAATGTTTTATTTTTAAAGATAATTAATGCAGAAGCTGAATTAAAATATAATTCAAATGGAATATTATAACACATACCTTTGTAGCACAAATTTTCTCTACAGCCACCTCCAAAACTAGGCGGGCAAGCAGAACAGGGCCTTCCATGTTTGTAAGGGGCATGGCCCCACCAGTTTCCCCTTAAAGAAACAATCCACTCTATTAAAAAGTATTCTAAAAGCATAATTTATAAGAAACTATAAAATATTACAATATGACAATAACCTTCAAATAGTAATTTTGATACGTAGATTTAAGGCATTTATATCTTTTAATGCAAAATCCTTTTGGTTGCTAAGTGTAAATGTAGACTACAGCATTATACTTTGATAAATATGTAAATTATTATGCATATTGTGTAATATCACTAATGAATATTTTCAGAACATCAAATTCATGCTATGGAACATTCATCTATAAAATAATTATAGTTTACACTTAGATTTGACCCTAAGAACATTTATGTAATATTGTCAGTGTTATCATTCAAATGGTCTTCAAATAAGTGAAAACATATTTCTTAATTAATCTATAGTTGCTGATCTCTAATAAATCAAAATTAAAGTTTACAGAAAACAAAAGTTCAATAAGTAAACCCAAAGTTATAAAATATATGACTCCATCTTCACCAATGTGGAAAAACCTGGTTGATATCCCAGATACTGCCTCAGTTCCCTCTTGGTGATGAGGTCATCTGATGAGTTATCTCAAGTGCTTATCGCAAATGCTCAAGATAGCCAGTCTGTACTCATTTTAGCAAGACTGAGGTTTTCTTTATTCGATTTTGCAAAATCAGGCATCCAACCCAGTAGTCACAGGTAGACATGTGGTGCGGCAGGTTTGCAAAGAATTTATACCTTAGTATGAGAAGTCGCCCTCCCTACACCCTCACCTCTTCCTCAATGATTTAGGTAACATGGGGCTCACAATCTTTCCCTGGACAGGGTCTTAATGGGTATACTTTTATTTAAAGTTCCTAGTGAAGGGGTTTCTCCTTCCCCCTTCCCCAATTTATCCTGTTAACATACCCCAGGGACATAGACCACTGTTGCTATATGAATCTACCAAACTTGCAGACCCATTATTCTTGAAGATGGACCATCTTGAGAATTTTTCACAACAAAGATCATATTTTTCCTTTTAAGTATTAAGTAAACTCAATTAAATCAATATACTTTATTCAATGTCACACAATAAAAAATAAGAATAATTCAGAATTTGAGTTATTTTTCTGTTGTTAAGAAGAAAAAGATATGAAACAAGCATTTTGTTAACTCACTTTGGGGAATAATTGCACACCAAGTAGACAGCTTTGGGCCATATCTGCCCCCAGATGTTCATGTTGTGGCACAAATTAATGGCACAGCCTATTCTGCTGCTGGTTGCCCACACCACCTACATTAAAGAGAAGAGAGGCTCAGGAAGCCCAGGATAAGACAAAATAAAACAGCAACATATCTGAGAGAAAATGTATAAAAGCTGGACTTGAGAAACAAGCATTTATCATTCAAAATGAAATGAGGCAATAATAAAACGTGTGTTTTATTTACTGAGACTTCAGGGAGTGTTTTAATTCAATTTAGAAAGAATTCTGGTGAAATAACTTATGGGCTATATAAAGAAGCATTTTTTAAAAATACAAATGTATTAAATAAATTCAAAACATACATCTTCACATATCTACATGCAGTGTTAACATTTCTATACAGAAACTTGACTGAACAAAGGAAGATAACTTTCCATCTCAAACATAATTTTGGAGCAAAATTTTAGATGTTCAAATTTCTTATGCACCATAATATTTGCTCTGTGCCACTGGCTGACAAGTAATTCATGTTGATCTTAATCTTGTCAAGTGCGAGATATACAGAACAATCTGTTTGCTTTATTTTCCCTGAAACTGTAGAAACTTAGAACAGTGGAGCATTTTATCCTATTAAATCTATCTTCAAGTGTGTAAATTTTGAAGTTTAAAATATATTTAAATATATTAAATATATCTGATGTTTAAAATATATCCAATACCAAATGTGAACACTGAATATAAAAACTAAAAATGTCACAAATGTAAAAATTGAATGTCATTAGTAAACAAACTACTTTTACTCTCTATAAACTAAAACATAATAAACACTATTGACTTTGAAAGTGGTACATTTGTTTCCACATACTTTTACTGGCAATATTAAAAATGTTTCATATGTAAAATCATTAAAAATGTTTCATATGTAAAATCATTAAAATAATGTCTTTTAAATAGACATTCAGCATTTTTTTTCTGATAATTACTTTCGAGTTTATAGAAATGTATAAGCTAAGTCTAGTCTATATAAATCAATTACTTTATAAGTTTTTGTTGTGGTGGTTGTTTTAGTGACCAAACCAAATGACATAAGAAAAACACATGTTCAATAGCCCAGGTTCTCCTGTAATTACACTAAGTTAATGGAGATGAATATGCTATTCCCAAAACACACCTGCGTATAATGAGTACAGACAGGTCCAGAACATCTGAATGGACAATACGGGTTACATTCATGCTCGTATGGGTAGCTGAAGTCTCTCACTTCATCATACCATGCTTGTACATGAAACGTTGGGGGCCTATATCTATTCAAAAGAAAACAATCATAAAAAAGCAAGTTGAAAGACCAAATCTAGCAAAACAGATTAATGCAGTTTAATACAGAGATATTTTTGTGTAAATTTTTCATATTAAGTATTTAAGATGAATGACTATTAATATGTCAATGAATGATTTAAAACAAGTCTTAAAGCCTGCAGATCATTCTGGTATTGTTTTTGTTAATATACTTGTTTGTGTTGTGATTACTTTTTTTCCTATGTGCATCAAGGTTTTGATAATTTTCAAAGACGTATTAATATGAATGTGGCTTCAGAAACAGAAAGTTACATATTAAGTTACCTTCCCCAGTGTGCTCCCAAGTTCTGTCCAATTGATGGAAGGAGGTTTGCAGGTCCATGTTCCCACAAACAAGTTTCAGCCCAAGATTCTGCAGATCTTTCCAATTCTACATCCCATGTCTGTAGTGTGAAAGAAAAAGAAAATACAGATGCAAATATAAAATCTGCATATGTATCGATTTATGCAAATATAAAATCTGCATATTCAAAATACTGTTGTTTAGTTCTTATTTGGTTCTCTCCTCATAATTCCTGGAAAAGCCAGTATCTTAGTCTAGATTCTCCCCATCATTATCTCTCCTAGATTTTTGTACTAATCTTCAAATTAATTTCCTTGGTTCTATCTGTTGCCCCTCCAACATACCCAAGTGTTTAGAGTAATCACAAAAATACTTCAGTGATTCACTGGCCAGATCTGTCCAGTGGTTTCCTATGTATATAGGTAAAGTCCAAACTCCTCAGCCTTCCCACTCCTTATATTTGTGGGGGTTGTTTCCACTTCTTAACACATCAGATAGATCCTACTTTCTTCACCATTGAGATGTATGTGATGTTTTCTTCATGATGCTTTTTCAATTTTTGTTGTTGTTGTAAGCAATGCTTAATGCCTTTTTTATCCTCCTTTGTAAAACACCAAGTACACTGCATTTCCCTTTGTCTAGATATCCACCTTTTCCATAAGACTATGAGTTTCTTAGGGGCAGTTATTTCATTCATGCGGGTACCTTTGGCTTATTTTACTATGCCTGAAATTATGGGTAGAATGATAAGTAAATATTATTGAATACACATGTTGCCATCAAGTTGTGACCCTATAGGACATAACAGAACTCATAGTGACCGTATAGAACACAACAGAACTGGCCCCCATAGGGTATCCAAGGCTGTACATCTATATGGAATCAGACTACTATATCTTTCACCCCTGGAATGGTGGTGGGTTCTAGTCACTGACCTTTCAGTTAGCAGCTGAGTACTTAACAACTGCACCACCAGGGTCCCTTTTATTGAATACTGTGCTGTAGTTCCAACTCGTAATGACCCTGTCTTGGGTTTCCAAGGAGCAGCTGGTAGGAAGCAGTCTAGTACTTATCCTAGAGCACCACATGAATGGTTAAATGAATCTTACTCCCTCAAAATCTGTTCATATTTTTATATACAAAATTTTACGAGTGATAAGATAATTGATTTTAACTATTGTATAAATGAATTGTTAAACATTTTAAATGAATATTTTGTTTAATTTAAATGTAAACATTTAAATAAATTATTATCCATGAATACTATTTTGCAAAATTAATAGAAATTATTTTATTATTTTTCATGTCCTGGGTTTAATAGTCAATGTGTTACTGATTTAAGATAAGTAATATAATACGTATGATGGTAAAAAATAAGATGGTATCAGGAAGAATGGGGCATAAATCCTGTTACTATCACTAACTAGAAGTCTGGACATGTTAAGAAGATAAACAAATAGTTCTGGGGACAAGACACAGGACACAACGTTAGTGACTGGAACAAGGTTAAAGAACAGATAAAATGAAATGATGCTTGCGAGTTTAAATTGGTAGAAGTTTATGGATAACTGCAAATAGATGGTGAGGGAAAAGAAAAAGTGAAGTCTGGCAAGGGTATCAAATTGGAAGAAAAAAAATGAAATTGATTGTTGTAATTTAAGTAGAAGTACATGTTAAGTATTTTCATGCATATTTCAGGTGTGATGTGTGAAATAGCTATGATACATGCAATATATATGCCAAATGGTGGTGGTGGTTATGTGCCATGCAGTTGGTTCTGACTCACATCCACCTTGTATAGGAATTCCAAGGCTGTAAATCTTTATGGGAGCAGAAAGCCTCAACTTTCTCCAGTGGAACAGCTGGTAGATGCGAACTGCTGAGCTTTCAGTTAGCAGCTCAGCTTGTAATTCACTACATTACCAGAGCTCCTCATATGCCAAGTAGAGAGCAGAAATAAATGACTGGAATTCTAAAGAAAAAAAATTGTGATCTTAAGATATGCTTGTTGAAGTAATGCACCAAGAGGTGAATTTCTTCAAGAAGATTATATAGAATGAGAGGAAGAATAAAAAGGAAATTCTGGGATCACAAAATTAAATGGAAGAAAAAATATGAAAAAGACACAAGGGGGAAATGAACATTAGAAAAGGTTAAAGTAGAAGAGGACTTAACATTAGAAGTCATGAATGGGAGATTTCAGGTGGAGAGAGTGGGCAGCAAGGCTTAATGCTACAGGGAAGTGAAGGAAGAGGATGTTTGTTAAGTATGTTTGAATTCATGATTAGGAGTAGTTTTATATCAGTGATACTTTGAGTTTTAAAATGACAGAAACCTAATCATTACTGTATGTTGAAAAGAAAAGACACTGAAAAGGGGGGAGAGGTGAGGTGGAGCATCTTCAGTCATTCATAATTTTTCCTAAAGGACAATTCCTCCCCATTTGATGATATATTTGAAATAAAAGTATGTCTTTAAAGTCACAAAATAAAATTTATACAAAATTGGGATGAATATATAAATTCATCATTATCAACTAAAATATATAAACAAAGCATATTAATTTGCAACTTAAAAAAATTAAAAGTAGCAAAATTAGCTGATTTTAATCAAAGGTTTAATGTCTAATATTCAAGAAGACAAGATTATGATATAAAACAATAACAAATCAAAACCCCAAAGCCATCTCCCTCTAATCCATTCTGAATCATAGTGACCACATGTTATTGTTGTCAAGTACTGTCTGTGTTGTTGTTGTGTTGTGAAGTGCCGTCAAGTCGGTTCCGACCCATAGCGACCCTGTATAGGGTTTCCAAGGAGCAGCTGGTAAGCAAGTACTATCTTGTTGGTTCCTATTCCTAGCAACTCAGAATAGGGATTCCGAGGAGCAGCAGGTGGGTTTGAATTATCAACCTTGGGGTTCACAGTCTAGTGCTTATCCTACAGCACCACACCAGGAGACCAGTGACCTTATAGAACAGAGTGAAACCCCAAAATCCCACTGCCTCCGACCTTATACAGGGTTTCTTAGACTATAAATCTTTAAAGGAACAGACAGCCTCATCTTTCTCCCGGAAGCAGCTGGTGGGTTTCGATCATTGTTATTGAGGTTAGGAACAAGCGCTTAATGACTGTACAGCAGGGCTTATATCAACATAAAAAATGTGTGCTATAAAATAAAAATATTTATCACACAAGCAGTTTAAATGCCAAATATGGGCATACAGCTATTCCTCAGTATTTAAGGGGAGTTGGCTCTATTACTCTTGCAGATTTTTATATAAAAATTGTGGAAGTTCAAGGTTAAAATCCCTTATATAAAATGGCAAAGTATTTGCATATAACCTATCCAATCCTCCTGAATATTTTAAATCATCTCTAGATTACTGATCATACCTAATACAATGCAAATGCTATGCAAATAGAACTTCAACTGCTTTCTCAGCCTTTGAGGGATTAACCACTTAATTGTTCCCCCCACCCTAATATTATCTGTTTGAAGTTGGTTGAATCCTCAGATACAGAACCTGAGGGTACATACTATAGGCTGCATTATTACTTCATTATCCATTAGACTTCATTTATCATCACATATTGTTGGTTATAGTTAATAATAAACAAAGGTGAAAAACAAATTGATTTCATATTATCTGTCCAAACAAGTTTGGTAAGAATCAAGGAATGTGGCTGAAAATGGGCATGAAACAGATATCTTTCTCCAGTCATAAGCTGGAGAGATAGTCATCTCTCAAAAGCAAGGAAGTGTCCACTTGGAGTTCCCAGAAAAGTAGGTTGCCATAAAAATTTTTTTTAAATTGTCTTCAATCCTGAAACTCAAATTCTTGCCTACTACCTGAGACAAATGCTTAGAAAATTTACACACTCATCCAGATTTCTAATCTAGTAACCTATAACTCAAAGAACAGTTAGAAGAAAAGTATAAACAGTTTCCACAGAAGTAAAAATGGTTTTTAAACACCTCTCCCTCTCTTACAAAGATGGAGTCAAATTGCCTCCTTCCCTTTCAGAATGAACTAACTACATTAGTTAAATGAACACAATGACACTAGGAAACTTGTAAGGCTAGTTTAAAAAGGGGATGCAGCTTTTATATTTCTCTTTAAAGAAAGACATCTTCATTGATCCTAGCCAACAAGTTAGGCTACCCTCTGGAGGCAACTGAAATGACAAAGTGGAGGAACCACCCAGAAGCAGAAAGATTTTCCTCTAGCTTCTGTGCTTTCCCAGCCCAAGCAGAAGATATGTGAGTTTGCAAGGGAAAATCATGCAACTGTGTCCAAAGAAAACAAAAGCCAAACTGGTTCTGACTCATGGCATACCCATTCATGGCTGTGGTCCTTCACACACAGAGAGCTAACAGTTTTCTTCTGTCAATCAGTAGTCTAGGCCCATTTGCACCACCCAGGAACTCCAAGCCTATACAACAGTTTTTAAAGTATTCCTTCAAGATCAATGCACCCCATTGTCGTTAGATTTTCCTATAAATCTGAAGACAGATCCTTCCTAAAGAGGTTATACAACCAGTTCTAAACTCAAATATCTGGTCTATTCCAAAAATTTGTATATATATTTGTTTTTAGAAACTGGAATACAATCTAAAACAAAAGAATTGAAGACTTTAAACTATTTTCTTATTTGTGTCAGTTAAAACAGGAGATTATTCAGATACCTTCCATCACTAAAATGCAATTATTGAATATATACTATGGACTAGTGTCTTGTTAAGTACTGTCAAGTCAGTTTGACACATAGTGGCCCTGTATAAAGTTTCCTAAGAGTGACTGGTGACTTTGAATTGTCAACTATGTGGCTAGCAGTGTAGTGCTTATCCTTTAGTGCCACACAAGGACTTCATACTATGAATGTTCTTGTTGTTGTTAAGCACTATCAAAGCGGTCCAAAGCACAGTAACCCTGTATAGGTCTCCAAGAAGAGGATGGTGAGCTTGAACCGCCGACCTTGTGAATAAAAGCGACTTTGAATAAGCTGTATTTAAGGTAAGTTAAGTTTGTTTTTTGTTTAATCTATTACATTACCACTGGAAGAATAAACAACATTCTTATCAGTGGAGAAAAGATT